GGCCACCTGTGGAAGGTTGTCGAAAATAGAGGGCAACAAAGTAGTGTTGGATGACTGGCTTGTAAATGCCTGTTGGAACTTGGGAGGGCTGGCTTGTAAACGCCTGTCTCCTTTTCGTTTCTCCGTAGTAGGAAGGCAGTAGATTGTGGTAGGTCAGTGGGGCTGGAAGGAACACTACGGTAGCTGTTCCTTTTTGGATCTGGGTTAGTGGTGACTGATTTCGTCAGCACCACTAGCACTACAGGGGGCGTGTGTTCAAAAAAAAAAAAAAAAAAAAAAAAAAAAAAAAAAAAGTTCCACAACCTGGGGGCTGGAAGGAGCACTACCGGTAGCTGTACATTTTTGGAACTGGGTTAAGTTCCAACTACAGTAGTGAAGGAGGACTACCGGTAGCTGTACGTTTTTGGAACTGGGTTAAGTTCCACCTACCGGTAGTGAAGGAGGACTACCGGTAGCCGTACATTTTTGGAACTGGAGCTGGGTTAAGTTCTAACCTCTCGAGTTAGAGAGAGAGGTGTGTTGGTGTTGTAACTTGTCATTGCATTGTGTTGTTCGGCATATGGTTGGTCATGATCGGTAGCTTAGCAGCCTTAGATTGGTGCCGCTAGAAAGATTCTTTTCGGAGCTGATTGGTTGATTCGCTCGGAGGCCGGCCTGAGCCGTGTTCACATCATCTGGTTCCTCCGGTCCGCCAGGGGCCAAGTCCCACTTACCCGAATTCTTGATTTCTGACCATTGATTCTGAAGATAGACGACCAGAAATGAAGAACTCAGCCAAGTGGGACTTTGGGCCCAGGGGATTGGTCCCTTGCAGGGTTCATACCCTGCAAGCGAAGTTGGGTAACCCTCCCAGATTGGTTACATTCGGGGGCTAGGTCCCACTTACACGACTTAAGCGATATTGACCGTAGATAGCAGAGATCAACGGCTAGAATCTGAGATCAACGGCTAGAATCTCTTAATCCGTGCAAGCTTAATCCGTGCAAGTGGGACCTTGCCCCCGGGTAGACTGTGAGGACGGGTAGATTGTGAGGACGGGTAGACTGTGAGGACCCCGACCTCTATCATTTCTATCCAATGAATGGACTACGGAAAAAGAAAAGAAAAGAAAAAATGAAAAGAAAAAAGAGAGTTTCCTTGGGTCTTTACCCTCCCCCCCCTCCCCAAGGACATCTTTTTTCGATTGCAACAGGGCCCAGTGCCCAGGCAGCACTCACCGACCAACGAGGGCCAGCCAGGGTTGCCTGCTCCACCCGGAGACAGGATAGCCCCGCCGCCCACCGGGGGCCAAGTCCCACTACCGTCTTCCCCCGAACACAACGCACCCTCATTTTTACTGCATCGGACCGGAAAGACGGCTTGTATACGTTCATTTTCAGCGTGCGTTATGTTCGGGGGAAGACGGTAGCAGTGTTCAGTTTCCCCAACGCCTGAACCCGGACGAGATTGAGGAAATGTCCACAGATGGCGTTGAGAATTCCTCCACTGCACACAACACACCGCTGGCCCGGACTTGCACAACCCACAATACGCACAATTTCCCCCCAATAAAGCACCAATAGAAACATCTACAGTCACTCTACCCAGGGACACACAGCGAGTTTTCCTCCTTTTCCTTTCTGTGTAGCATGCCTTTCCGCGTCAGACTGCAAACGGTTTCTCCGGCATATGGGTACGCCGGCCGGGTTAGATCATCACCCGCGGAATAATGCATACTTAACAAGTTGCAGTCTTTGGGTTTAACAAAGACATGAGAATTGACGGGTTCGTGGAAGTCCTTATACCTCCTGGACGAGTGGGTGCACAGGCAGAGTCTTGAGATTTCAGTTATGGGTCTTGTGCCCTCACCACAGATGTGATTTCACCACGTCAGGTGTGATCTGACCATAGGCAGTCAGTCGCACTAGGTAGGGAGAATATAAACAATACTTTTTTTTTTTTTTTTTTAATCTTGGTGCGTCAGTTGCGTTCTCTATTATCTTCTTTTCTATTTATTTATTCTTCTCTCATCTATCTCATCTTTTTGGTAGTACGCGTCTATATCTCATCCTCTCGCTACCTGGTCTATGTATAGTACGGGGGAACGCAACCAACCGGGATCTCTCCCTACCTAGCCCACGGGGAAGGTGGGGACCACAGCTGTGGTGCAAGAGCAAGGCTGTACAAGTCCCTCATCACCTTGGGCAGGCATTGCAGATGTGGGAAATAGGCGGAGCAATGGCCAGGCACTGCACCTCCCCCTACCCCCCCCCCCCCCAAACCCTACATAGCGGTGTCTAATGGCCAATATTGTCGCTGCATAGCAACCAACAACATCAGCCAAGGTCCTGCCAATGCTGGGTTGGGGGGGCCAACGGGTTATCTCTAGCTGGTAGAACACCAAGCTTGCCCAGGCACGTAGGTGAGGTGGGTGGGTATTGAACCCACGACCTCCTGTGCTTTACTACCAACTGAGCTACCGGTAGGCCCGCAGGCCTTCTCTCTCATCTCCCACCTCTACTTCTTCCACCTCTGGGGCTAATAAGGTCCCCCACGAGCAAAGTGGATCGAATTCAGACCCTGAATCTGGATAGGTTCTTGGTGGAGATGCAGAAAAGCAGATCAGTCACCGTTTTCTGCATCTGCCCTCAAACACGTCCAGATTTAGGCATTCAATCCAATCCTCTCTGCTAGTGGGACCTCAACCCTGCTTCTTCTACCTCTTCATCCTTCCTCTCCTTTTGTCTGCTTTGACCTGCCAACGGTCTCTTTTTTTTTTTTTTTTTTTTTTTTTATATTCTTCTCTCAACTTCTGTTTTTGCCTTTCACTACCTACTCCTAAAGCCAGACCCCCACTGGCGGCCCCAACCCTATCCCCTAAACATTAGGGGCAATGGGCAACATGAAATCTCCCCTGCCAACGGTCTATGAGTTACAGTGATTATTATTGTCATATATTTGTGACGATATATATATATTGCTACTAACGCCCAAAACTATATATATATATATATATTTAACCGACAGTCTGTAGAGTTTTCCATCTGGTGTGGGTGAGTGATAGTCTACTTTGATTTTGGTTAAGGTTGATTATCACTTACAGTGTAATCAGTGAGGGGATTCTACAGACTGTTGAGGGTTCAGCCTTCTGATGAGTCGGTGAAACTCCAACGAAACAGTTTGTCACAGCCCCTCGTTTGTTGTCCTCTTCTCCCTCTCTGCCTACG